TCACATATCATTTTTGTTGTTGACGAGCCCAAATTTCAAATCCATTGAAACACAAACAATGCAACGTAATCCGCTTTTGATGGCCACACAATCGCATCGGTTGATTCAATCTATTTCGCGTTTCACTTTTTCTCATCGTCCCCTCTGCCGCTCTGCTCTGTTGATCGATTTTACTGCAAATTCTAAATCGAAATTCCCATGTGCTATATCAAGATCACGAGACAAGGTAGGCAGTAAACACCGGATTTTTGATAGGTTTGTTATATATTTTGGGCACAGCAGATAAACACGTTGCTGACGTCGGTGATTGTTAATCCTCAACCAAATGCACACCATCGCCATAAAAACGGCACACCAAAATCAAGATAAACAACAAAAGATGAATCGTGTCGATAGATAAATTGAAACCAATCTACATCGTCGCATTGAATGAAATAAAAAATAAAGAATAAAATAAAATAAAATAGCTAGCGAACACCGAATGCCTTTTAGAAAAATTAAAAGTCATCGAACGTATTTACGATGAGAAAAGCGACGAAAAATTTGATGCCGACGATGTATGTGTTGATGCGACAGGATTTTGTCACAATGTCAAAGTCTAATATTGCAGGCAAAACGATGATGCCATATATTATTTTATGGCGGGAGGATTTCGAATGACACAGATAAGAAAGGTGTTTTGTGAGTTTAGCATTATCGTCAACAATTTCAGGCACTGCGGCAGATAGACGACTTTTATTTAAATGCAATATTCTCCCTCGTTTGGTGCGTCACAATATCAATGTGGTTGATCAATGATTCAAGTGAAGCAAACAAACGCTTTTCAATCTCCAGAGATAAAATATTAAAATATATATTTTTTGATTGTTTTGTTGCTTGCTCACCATTATTCAGTGTCGATGTTCATTCAACAAGGACGGATAAATGGCAATCATCACTCAAGTAAAGTGGAAAATGAGCATTTAACATTTTTTTACGTAATAATTTGTCATTGGATTGCTTATTTTCTTTAACTTCAAGTTTGATCGCGGAAAATAATTATTTTATAAAAATTTCTTTACCAAAATATTCTACTAAGTGTAACCCAATGGGCAACCCGAAGCATTATAAAGACCACCCGAGATTCACACGAAAAATATAGAGATTTTAAATCCAAAGCGTGCCAAATGTCATTTTGTACGAATTTTATAAAAAATAACATATAAAATCGTGCCATCTTTTAAACCCATCTAGCACTTAAATTTTTTTTGCATACTTTTTATAAAAAGATAGTGATAATAAAAGGCAAAAAATTTCACCTTCTCCACAGATAAATAGTTAGTAAGGATTCCTTACTAAGGAATAAAACAAGCTATGTTGATTTAAAATCGGTGAATCCCGGGACAGCACATTGTACAGTGTACACAGGGTACAGGATTCGTTTATAGAAAAGAATATTAACCAATTCTCAATATTAAATTCATTCAAATTAAAAATGGCAGAAAAGGAACAAATGGATACGAGTACAAAGTACATACCATTCTGCGAATAGCATGACAAATTGGTCGAGTGCAATTATATTCTAATAATCATAGTTTGGTAAGCGGATTTTTTCTATAGAAGTTGGAAAATGATTTGAACCATTTGACTATTTTGAAACAATTTTTACTAGAGTTATGGAAAATCATGTTCCAATTAACAAAGCTATCCAATAAATTCAACGCAATTATTTAAAATGAGTCAATTGTCTGTCAGTCGATAAATTCTCACGAGGATTCTCATTGCTTTTATATTTAATTTTTATTAATATTTTGTGAAACAAATATTTCAATATAAATCCAATATTAAATTCATGTTTCTCCGTCAAAAATACCAAATTATTTATAAATTCGTCACAACAATTTGAACCAACAAGTCGAACCTATTTTTAATTGAAAAGTTACAGACAGACATTTAATTAATTTTACAAATATGTATAAATGGATTATGGGCATTGATCAATAGTAGTCAAGTGTTTCACTGATTTTATCAACTTAAATAAATGAATAATAGTAGTGATGACGTTGATATTTTAATAGAATTGCTCATGTTCCAATTGTCTGTCATATTCTCAAGTTAGAGAGTGCTCACGGAATATTTTTCAAACTTGAAGTATTTTATTTATATTTTTCTATTCTAATTTCAACTTAGAACTCACCATTTCAAGTGGTTTATTAATAATTAGCTGCACTGAATGTATGACGCTAATCTAAAATTTAAAGTGGATTATACCGTTCGGTTAATTTCGGTGTTTGCAACTATTTCTATCTTCTGAATACTGTATACCATTGAAAACATATCGATTTCAAACTATTGACAAAGCATTTCAAATGAAAAATTCCTTTTGCCATAAAATGTAACTTTGTTATTTTTAGTACTTAAATCATTTTCATATAGAAGAACTAATATCGAAAATGGATTTTGTCGTTGATGCAATGAACGAATTGTGTGGTTATGGGGGAACGAGTGAGAAACAATGTTGAGTGAGTCGAATCCGGATATTCCATAATACCGAGAAATGACAGCGAAAAAAACGCAAATAACACGAAGAACTACTTCACTGTTTCAAATGTTCACACAGGATATTTTTTATGTATTTTATTGAATTTTATTGCATTTGCCATAGATTTGCTGGAAGGCATTTACGATTTAAAATTGTTCTCGAGCAAATATTGCGAGTTTCAAATCTGGATGTGAAAAAAAAATGCAATCGTTGTTTGTTATTCACAGGGAGGTAAAAGGTGCGGAGAATATGAACAAAAGATATCTCAGTATATAGAGACTGTGGTAAACTTTTTTTTAACTCCCAATAGCATCGAATTACGATTTTCTATTTGTAAAGTTTTTGACACAAATGCGATATGATTGATTTTGGGTCTCTCAGCAAATAACAACATATTTTCCAACTGTTTACAATAAAATTCATCGCTTAAAATGCATAATAAATGTTGAATGCTGAAGCGCTATATATAAATGAATCGATTCGGATCGTAAATAAAATTTGAGAAATTCAATTTAGTTTAAAATTTGAGGCAAAGAGTAGCAAAACTATAGAATATCACACGAAATCGAACAATGTTCAAATTGAATCGAGAAATATCCGCATGTATTTGAAATTTGATGTTGAATGTTAGTGTGTGATGAAATGTAATGAAATTGCTTTTCTTTGAAATTCAATGATTCAATTGAGATTTGCAGTGTACACTCCTCCGTGTACAGTTTTATTGCTTCCGAATTGAATTCAAGCAAACCAATAATTGGGTAAAATTTATACTGCAATGTGGCGCCTTCACAAATTATACCAATTGAAATCGACAGACATTTTGTACATTTAGCCGAAAGATATTTGTCCCGTTGGTGATTCATGTGTCTCCATTTCTCATTTTGGTTCGATACTCATCCGACCAGATCCTATTTACCGTTATCAAATGTCGCAATTTTCTCTTTCTCATTCGTGTTGTGCTCGTGTTTTGGCTCTAACAAGACCATAATTTTTATTTTTCAATTCAATGATTTGTGCAGTCAATGAGAAAAATGAATGAAACCGAAGTCAGAGTTTTACATCATGTGTCACATGTACTTTAAGCTTGGGCTTATGCTCTGTTCTTCGTCTTGATTATTTGATTAGCAATAGCATTGATTATTCTTTGGATGTGACTTTTCGTTATTATTGCCGCAGTCGCTACCGTTCCAGTTTGTCATTTCTCATCGGTGAGCACATCCATTAGATGGTACACACAAAACACTCAGTGAACGCAATGTTTGCGACAGAGCGCCCGCGCTTTTATCGTCAACCAAACGGCAACAACACACCATTTCATGGTGTTTGGTTTTTCCTATGCTTTTCACATATTGTACCCTGTACTCCATAAATAGACCACCGGGTTTTTTGTCTCTCTATTTCATTTTCTTTCATTCACTGTTTTTTTCTCCCTCTTTCCCTTTGGCTGCGATTCGTTATTCACATTGATGTAGGTCCATAAATTTTTCACCGTTGCAATGCAAAGACTCATGTGCGCGGATTACATACAACCCGTTTTTCGGCTCGACACAAAAGCGTAATCCCCCCGTTTGTTTATCCAATTCGTTTTTTCTTGTTTGGAAACATTTTGCTGTGTGATTAATATGCAGTACGACAAGAGGTTCATTTGTTAAGTTGAAATTTGGTTCGTCGTGCATTGTACTGAATCAAGGAAGGATTTTTTACGCCTTTTACATACACTAAGATAACGAAATATTTATGGACAAAGCTCGCTTCTCCCAAGTGTCCAAAATCCACGAATTTTGTTAAATCATTCTTACAGCATTTAATTCAAACTTCGTAATGACATACTAATAAGACGGTTGTTGGAGAGTGAAAAAATCTTGAGCACTTGAATATTTCATTAGAGAGAGGTCAAGATTTTTAATAAAAAAACGCTATACGGCGGAGTAATGTTCCCCTTGTGAACGGTACCATCAAACAAACTCACGTTATCTGTAATGCGAATGACATCGTATCACATAATTAATACATCCATTTAAACTGGAATACAGTGATCAGAGTTGATGTGTTGGAAAGTACTAGCAAAGGTTGAACCCACATTAATGATTTTCCAAAGAAAAACTTTTGACGTCGATTGCATCGCGTTAAGTTGGTGCTATTCACCATGAAATCCAGTTGATCTTAACTAGAACAGAATATATATCTCTATTAATTACTTCAAAGTATCGATACCAACAAGCATGAAGAGAATGTCGGGCGTGTGTACGAATAATCTCTTGTAAATTGAAAATCATTGCTGTTTTAACTTGTTTGTGCAGTGTTGTTGATACGAAGTATGTGTTTCCCGAGAAAATTTTCCCCATTAAAATTCCACTCTGATTTTTTTTATTTTGAAAAAAAAAGTTTTTCGTGCGATAACCGCTTTGAACTTTGTGCATTTAACCGGCGAACAAATGTAAAGTCATTAATTTGCATCATGTTTGTTTTCATTTTGTAGTGTCAAGGACGATGTGTGGTGAGAACAGTGTTCATTACTGGGAGACACCATATGCACAACCATTTTTTGATAATACAACCAAACGAGACGTCACTGCAACCGTAGGACAACCGGCACTATTGCATTGTAAAGTACGCAATCTAGGCGATCGAGCGGTAAGTTCAGCTTTATAATTACGTTACATACAATAATTAACACATTTCCCAATTAAAATTTTCAATTCATTGAACCAAGTCACATACAACAATTACGGGTTTATTTTATTATTAAAAATCGATATCAGAAATACAAGAAAGACAGAAAAGGGTTGAAAGGTTCACGAATCACAGTCACAGAAAAAGAATTAAAAAAGAAATAAAATTACTTTTATTGTAATTTTGTAATGAAGAACATTTTGCTGCTTGAAAAATCATAATATATAATTGTGGTTTCACAATTTCACTGATATCCTTTTTTCCGCAGTAAAACGAGGAAGGGAGAGAAATGTAAAGACAGAGAGAGTGAGAATGAAAAATAAAATGGAGTCGAAATGAAAAAAAAAACCTAAATATTTTTGTGAATGCGACGCACTCAAAAAGAATGAGGTGAGCTTTGTGTAGCGAATTGAAAAATGCTCATTCGTTCTTTGGTCGGTTAACGGTTGGCTGCTTCCATTATGATGCAGAAAAAAACAGAACATATGTTCAGTTTTGATCCAAAAAGCTTGGGCATTAAGGGATAATGTTTGGTGTTGTTTTTTCTTTCCTGCAGTCATTTCTCTTTGTCTCTCTCACTCTCTGTTTCTCGTTCGTTCTGTCATACTGTAGCTCTTGTTGTAGCCATATATATTGCGCATAATGAAATCCATTCATTTCAAGTCGTTAGACTGGATTATTATGCATTTTTACGAAGCAAGCATAAAATTTGATTTAAAAATGAAATTTTTTAATGTGCTTATTGTGTCGACGGTGAGGTAAAAAAGAAACTAATGGGTGCCATTGCGTATAGCAAAGACACTCTCGAAATTTGTTTTTAATCTATAGTGGTTGAAAATGGATGTGTCATCGTAAAATGCTTACGAATGCTGAATGTGCTGCTTAGCCGAAGAAAAATCGAATTAATCTTGGCATTTACGAGAGAGGAAAAAAAGGCATCGGTCATTGCAGAAAAAAAAAGAAACCAAAAATGAAATAAGGCTGAAAATCTCGCTTTTAAATGAAAATGTCCAATGGCTGTTACAGAATTATAAGAAAATAATTTATTTATCCCTTTTTTCGGCGACCAAATTCAACGCGTATAAAACATTCGTTAGAAAAAATTATTTCGCTCCGCTCATTTTTTTCATTTTTTTCCACTCTTTCACGCCCTTTCGCTAAATATCAGTGACAGTTTTGCGACTATGCACACACTGAACCGTAAAAATATTTTTACCAACGATAGAAAAACGAATGAGAAGAAAAAAAATCGTACACCAAGCATATGGAATATGGATCTGCACACACACGTTCGCATTTCGAACTTAAATTAGATTTTTACAAGTGAACATGCCACTTTTTTTGTTTTGTCGCTGAATGTCGTCGCGAACGTGTGCAGAGCGTGGCTTATGTGAAACAGTGAACAAGAAATATATTGCCATTTTACCATTTATTTTGGCTTATAAATCGCTCAGGCGCGCACCAAATGTTTCACACTTGAAATATGTTACATCCTCACCTACTACAACTTGGGCTGCATGAATCGTGTTAGCGACACCTTTTTTTGCTACCATTCGAGATGACATTTTTTCTGTCGTTTATTTTAACAAGCTAAATGAATTTTTGCCATGATTTCTCTTCACTTTTTTTTCGGTATTGTTCAAATGAGTGAAGCACACAATTTTTGGTGCTCGATGCTAGTTGAGGTTCAATGAATTGATGTGAGTTTTTAAAAGTGATTTTATGTTTTCATTCGATTGTCTTTCGTTCACAGGTTTCATGGATTCGGAAAAGGTAATTCAAAACCCAATCTCTCTTAAAATATTCAAATATCTTCACTGTTGTGATCTTTATTGTTGTTTTTGTTGCTGTGTGTTCTATACACCTATCTATTATCTATTTTAATGTATCTAGGGACTTGCACATATTAACAGTTGGTATTTTAACCTATTCGTCGGATCAACGATTCCAGGCCATGCATCAAGAGGGTAAGTGGTCATGTATTTTTTTAAATTTCTTCACACCAAATGACTTGCACATGCATATGCACAACAAATAAACGATCATCATTTGATTATTTTGATAAAGCAATAAAAATAAAAATATATTTTCTAAAGGTTCAGATGAATGGACATTAAAAATAACATCACCACAACCGCGTGATTCGGGAACCTATGAGGTAAGTATTTTTCTTAAGTTTTCCTCTTTTTTAGCTATCTTTTGGTTTTAGGTGCTAATTCATTCTATCTCTCTTTCTCTGAAGTGCCAAGTTTCGATGGAGCCAAAGATCAGTCTGGCATTTCGTTTAATGGTTATCGGTGAGTATAGTTTCTATTTAAAATAAAAACAAAATCTTATTATTCCACTTGAAAAAAATAAACTGCTTTGAACAGTCTTATTGGTGCTTGACAAACGCACTCTTGAGTAAGGAATTCGAAGGGTGCTCAAAGCTGTGTGACTTTTTTTTATTCAACGTACTGTAGAAGGGATTCTGAGAAATAAAACGAATTCCATCATTCTCAATTGATTAAATACTTGATTTAAGTGCACAATTAATACGATTGAAATTGCATCCACATACTTCAACTACTACTACTATTCATTTCTTAAGTGAGTCATATTTCAAAAAAAAAAAAAACAATTTACGAAAGAAAGACATTCAAAGAAATATTTCTGCCGTTTAAAATTAAATTCGTTTCGGAGCGTTTGATCCGATTAAAAGCATCTGAAAATCAGGAAAATCACTTTTATGCCCATTATCAAATGAGAAAAAATGCCATGCAATTTAGTTCTTTAATATTTAATCTTCTCAATTAGCACACACTCGAATTGCTTATCTTTAGTGAAATTTCCATCGATACGGGCTTCTTAATTCGCGTATTGTCACATAAAACGAAGCAGAAAAAACGTATTGTCACATAAACGAAGCAAAATTAAACAGATGGAGAGATAGAGCGAATGAGAAAAAAACGCTGAAATGTGTACAACGAGACGGGGAACGATGTTGTCTTTCATTCCGGAGCTTGTAAATTTAATGGACGCTTTCAAACGAAAAGAAAATGACCGGCCCATCAAAACAGGATAAATAATTTATGGCGTTACACTCATTAATGTCTTTACATTGAGTGTGGAGTAATTATGCTTTTCACGCTCCCAACAATTATATGTTTTACCGGATTTAAACCATCGTTTCATAGCAGCTGCGGTGGCAGTAGCAACACATGCAACGGTATTACATGTACACTGTGAATTGTTGGTCTTTCGAATGCCAATGCTGATGCGAAGCGTCGAGATTGAATTTGTTTATGGGGGAGCAAAATGAATGGAACAAAGACAAAGCAGCTTCATTCCAGCAAAATAAATATTCATTTGTCTTTGGTGTGTGTGTGTCGTTGTTGGCTGTGCATAGAATTTTTTGTTTTAACCAGCATACCAGCATCTACGCGTGGCCATTCACAGTCATCATCATCATTTATTATAATACAGTTTGTGTGCGTGTGTTTGTGTGTGCTGGGTGCGAAATTCACATAAAAATAATTGAATTTTGATTTAGATTGAACGTGCTACAAAGCAAACGCGAGCAAATGCACAACAAAATGGCCACTTTTTGATGTTTTCACTTGTCTTTTGGTATGCATCAATCATGCGAGTAAACATAATCGAAAGCATTCTACATTCCAACAAAAAACAATTGATGGAATCAATTTTGAGCAAGACATTATTTTAACACAACTGTTTTTTCGGGCTCGAATTCCCCAAAACAGCAATCCGCTTGATTCGAAGTAATTTTTCATTTGAAGCGTATTGAATTAATTTGTAGACGCGTTTTATTTTGTTTATTTGACCATTTTTCCGTGTTTTAAGCCACCATACAAAATGTCTACAATGTTTAATGAGCGATTTTTCTTGTTCATTCGAGAGAGAGAGAGAAGCATATAGCATCCGTCGTTCAAAATTATATATGTACAATTGTACGATAATTAATTTTCATTGGAATTAGAAGCACGCCGGACAAAAAATCGCACATAATTTTAGCCGAGAAATGTAGCCGTCGCAATGCAATTATTCATGTACGTGAACGGTAGAAGAACGAGTGGCAAACAGCAGAAATGATATCGACAAAAGGCGATAAACAAACAAAGCAAAAAATAGAAGCGGTGGCCGTGAATGTGCATATCTTTACAGATGTAAATGTAAATGGAAACCATAGATGTGAAATGGCATTCGTAACGATAGCCAATTGATGATGCGCATAGTGGAATCCTTTAATCTTAATTCTACTCAAATCAGACGATAAATCTTCTTAATCGTAATAATAATTTCATTTTCACCGACGCCGTGTATACCAATCATGGATTTCATGTTGCTTGTTAAGCAACTTCAATGCAAACCTTTTTCTTTCGCTTTGCTCTTAATCTCGTTTCACAAAATTGTCGTGCGAAAGCGATGAAGGCTTGTTAAGTGGTACACAATGATGAGGTGGGCATTTTGTCTGGAAGTTTTTTCTCTCTAGCATTTTCTTTGCCGCGCTACGTATTTTTAGAGCAATCTCTTTTGACCTGACATGGAATAGCAAAATTCTATTTCTTGCAGCGACCTTTTGGTCTTGGTATTATTTTTTTTTGTTCATCAATTCACCTGCTTTCAAAACCTCTCAAATTATCACGTCAAACGTTGTTGCTCTTCATAAAAAAGATTGTGTATACGCAATAATCAAGCAAAAAAAACATACTCTTGCGTCTGACGTGCATACTGCTTTTTTCCTCTTCTTCAATTCCTTTTCCAGTTTGTCTAATATTCAATAAAGAAGTGTCGAGAACTCGACAACACAGTACAAAGAAACACAAAAAAGAAGAACAAAAAGAGAAAAAGACGAAATTGGTGTTAAAAGTGGAAAGAAGCAGGGGGAAAAAGGAGAGACGACAGCAAATTCAAATTGGTTTTCTGTACAAATCATTAGTGACAAGTGCTCAGGATGAACGAAAAACCAAATCAACTCTCTTGCTCTGACAAAACAGAAAACTGTGTGTACCATTTACTTTATATTTTGCGAATTAAGCCCTTATTATAACACTTGAAGTTGAAACAGCGAAGTGTGGGATAAAAAGCGACGGATGGCAACATCGTGATGCTGTCAAAAAAATGTATTGAATATTTTACTGTATTCTTCTGTTACATTCTCAATTGAGTATTTCTTCTATTAATAAGCGTGTCCAAGTATTTTTTTTCTCCTCTCCTCTCTCTCAGAATTTACTATCGAAAATATTTCGCAAATTAAGATGAGAAAAAGATTATTTTAGAGAATAAAGCGTAAAAATACCTCAATTTCTGACAATTTCACACACTAAAAGCACATGCCAACATAATTTAAGCATTTTTTGAAGGCTTTATCAGTTGAATATTCGAGAAATTTAACTGAAACTTGTTAAAACTGAACAATTTCATCATTCGCTAGGAGTAAAAAAACGTTTCAAACAGTTGGCGTTGATGATGATGATGATGTTGCTACTGCTGATGGTTCGTTTTTGTCAAAGTGCGCACCGGATTTCGAATGCAATTTGCATTGGAATTGATATTACTTTACATCATCGTAGTATGAGATAGAGAGAGATAGAGAGAGAGAGAGAAGTGTGAGACTGTCATAATGGATGAAAGAAATGTGGAATATTTTTTCACACATTTTTTCTCGTCAATTCGATGCTGAAATAATCAGCAAAACAAACTGGATTTGCCGCTGGCACAAAGATAACAAGTAGATTTGTAGATCGATGGTCATTAATATTCGGATGCTTTTATCGATGAAAAAACAAACTCGAAGAAATGTGAGCTATTTTAGTAAGAAAAATACGCCATCTTTGCTATGAAAATTTGAATTCGACGAATATTTTAATGGCATTTGGCTTCTTTCACTTCCTTTGACTGTCACATAGATATTCAACGAATCCAAGTGGAAATCAAAAGCGATTGATTGCGATTCCTTAGACACTTCTCATCCTTTTTTGTTGAAAATGAAGAAGATAAATATGAAAGAAAACCTGGTTTGGAGCTGCAATGCACATGTGTGTTGACGATATCAACCATATCGACTCGAATCCAAGCTATCAAATAGAAGGCTTCGAATATTTGAGCTCATTTATTTTGAATCCAATTTAAAAAATAATGACAGCGCTGCATTCTGGATGCCAAACGGCGTTGCCGCGTTGCATTGATATTTGTCAAAAATACTGTCTCGCACTGCATGAAATGGCTCCTTCTTGATTTATTATCAAACAAAATTAACAATTTAAATTTTGGCAAATCGAAAATGTCAGCGCAAAAAACCGCAACATTTTGACTGAAGACATTGCTTGCAGGCTTGCACACGCGGCATGAGATGCGCAAATTTAAGGCCGCCGAAGCATATTTAATGAAGGTAATTCTTCTTCCTTTCAGAAATTTCACCTTAAAATAACCTCTACGCCACATGGAAAAACCCATCGAAAACCAAATAACCGCAGACTAAAGTTGCTTCGCCATGCGAACAACTCTTAAGCCCTCTCTAATAAATGTCATGCATAAATCGATCGCATTTATTACATATTCTCTTGTTGTTGTGTGTATGTGCTTTTACCATTCATTTTGATGCACAATGCATGTCATCATGTCGCTGTGTTTGTTCCAATTTTATTTGATTTCTACGTGTGAGAATCCACAAAACCGTAAAATACCATGGAATACTGAGTCACAAAATTCCACATTGCAGAAACAAACCTCAACAATACAGATTCGATATTCGTTCATTGTACGAAAAACATATTTGTCAATCGTGAACGAACAGAAAAAATAAAGTATGTACAGTGGTTTGTGTTGAGAGAAAGAGAGAGAAAAACAGAGAAAGAAATAATCATGTGATTATTCATATTTACCATTTTTGATGCAAAACAAGACACTTTTAACAATCACAAATGACATGCTCAGACTCAGCAAATATTCTGAATCAGAAACTATAACACGTGCACTGTACTCCCTCCCACACACGCCACCAACGTGCGGTAATAAATATTTGCAAATAAGAAGTACTAATAGCAATGCAAGGATTGTTAAACTATGTTTCAATGTATTTCGTATTTGAGTTTGATTTTTTATTGAACATGCTTTCGGAAATAAATAATGGCAAAAAATAGGCATTTGCAAATGCAATAAATGCAACAGTACTGAGATTTTATCTGATAAGAATCTTGAATGAATTCAAAAAGCATTTAGCTGAGCTTCTAGTCTAAGCTTTTGATCATGATAAAAAAAGCTCATCCGATAAAAAGTATATTTCTTGATTTGACAG